TCAAGAACACATCTTTCGACGTGGATGCCGATGCATCGACTCCGACAGCACCGTACCACCGCATCAATACGTGGAGCGGGGGCTTGAACGAAATGGAGGAGGACTTCCGGAGATTCGTGGGACTGGCTTCAGGGATGGAGGCCTCAAGAGTCAGAAGATGAGCAGCTTAGAATGTACAAGGCCGCCGAGCTTTCGTGCCCCATGCCACTGCAAGAGAGCTATCCTCACCCTGACCCAGAAGAATAATCTGCAGCAAGCTCGGACACGGCGACCAAGACTGACGAGAAAAAGCGTGCATGATTCACTGATTTCGCAGGACTTGCTGAACGATCCCGTTCTCGAGCTTGGCCCACTGGACAAGGCATCGGCAGACTTCACAGTCACAGCATCAGCACAGGCTTTCAAGTGTTGTCCATTTCAGTGCGGTGCGGTGCCCATTGCCGCAAAACGTGTTGTCACAGCGACTGCCATCCTTTCTGACGTTGAAGGTGGAGCAAGCCACCCTTCAGCTTGGGCCCTCCCCAAAGCCACCGCAGAAGGCACAGATTCCGGCATTCTTGGTGAAAGCATGTCGCAAAAAAGCTCGTCTCACCCATCGAGGAGCTGTTGCGCGGCCTCCATTGTGTCCCGGAACACCAGCGTCTAAACGGGAAGCCTGTCGGCATGGTCGTAGGCATCAGCATGTGGCCATGTGCTTCAGACAACATCTTCAGGATGGGTCGTCAGATCTCCGAGTGCTCCGAGACCTCCGTGACGTCCACCGACACCCCCACACGCACCGAGAAGCGGCATCAGGATTGCTTTTTGTGAGACTCAAAGGCCTGCCTTTGTCTGACGTCTGACGCAGGACACGCCGCTTGGGTGGGGAAGGAAAGCCGACAGCCTGGAGCCTCGGCTCCCGCAAGTGGACCCCATCCCTGCGATCTGCACCGCTCAGGCCGAGGGTCCTCGCCCTTCTCCGCGGTCCACGAAGCGCCTGAGCTTGAGGCCGCTTTGGCCCGCAGCAACTCCTACCAGCCTGCAGCAACTGTCGCAGTACTCATGCATGAGCGTTGGATGACATGTTTCATGTGACTTCCACGCATCCACTGCAGACCCGGGAACATCACGACCTCCCGAAAAAGACGGACACAACGTTGGGTGGTGAAGACAGGTGGATGGGTCGGGTCCCGTCCTGGGTCCCCCTGTCCCTACCTCCAGGAGCCTCTGCAGAGAAGCGGGGCACCGCACTGAGAAACAGGGGGCCCACAGAGGTCGAAAACGGCTGAAGGGTGTGCCCAGCACTCCCTCGAGCTGCTAGACGCTCCACGAAGGCACCTGCAAGGATTCATTGGCGTAACAATCGGCGAGCGGCTTGTCGGTTCTGACCGCCGGTGTATTGCAAGCTTGGCATGCTTACCAGCTCGGCGGGAGACTCAAATCAGAATCGATTGCGCTGGCCCACGAAGCAGATGGCCGGAACGGAGAATCATGGACCAGGGTTAGTAAATTCCGGCATGCTGCCCTCGTTGCAGCAGCAGCGGCAGCAGCAGCAGCAGCAGAAGTAGCATTGCAGGAACGAGCATCGTCGTGTTGGTTCAGTCTGAGTCTTTTTGTGTTGGTCATTCTGCCTGGTAAGACTGGCTTGTACATGACCCTTCAACCCCAACTCCTTAAGCCCTGAACCCTGCACCCAAAAGTGCAACCGCTTTCTACGTACAGTACCTGTTTGCACTGAAGCCTTAAATGGGGCTGCCGAGAAATTATCAGGACGATGACGATGGTCAGGCCCGGGTCTTAGCAAGGCCTTTCGGGAGGTTGCAGCCACGGATGTGACCGCTTGGTGTGTGTGGCTAGCAGTTGCATTTTGGTGTAGGCTGCAGGCCTCAAGCATCCAATTCCGGCACTGTCGTATTCAAGGTCCTGGAGCAACCACACGACATGCCGCAGGCAGGGAAGTAACGCCAGATTAATTTTAAACGCTTAGTGTCGTCCGCCTCAGCCCCGCTGTGCTTGAAACAGGTGCATTGTTTCGGAAAGCAGCAACCCGAAAGCCGAGCCAAGCCCATAGGCCTGAAACCCGAAACCCTAAACCAGCAGCGAGCGTTTCTTGCTGTCCCTTCTGACAGCATGCTCTGTGAGCGAATCTGCTTGTGGAGTGTTAACGCATTCGTCGAACCTACTTCTGCAGACCTTGCCAGGCTTGTCCGAGTGTGAGTGTCAAAAAATAGAGCAGCGAAAAGGTTGGGAGCTGGGAAGGGGAGAAGGGAAAAAGGTAAGTGAAACTGCTCTACAGCGAGCCCAAATCCATTGGAGGAAACGAAATCAAACTGTGGGACCTCTGGGCTCATCCAGAGGTTCACATAGGGGTCAGGCGGGCAGGCTTTTGGGGGGGGGGGGGGTGGTTACAGGGGGCGGATTCACAGGGGGGGAACCTCTGACCGTGCCAAGGGGCCGAGGCGACTTGGTCGGATTCGAACGGACAGAATCGCAGGAGATGGGACATCTTGCTGGGCCGATTTCTCCGAACACGAAGCTGCATCAACACTTCGGGGCAGCTCGTCTGCATGCCAGTTCAGAAGACCGCCTTCGTCAACCTCAAACACGATAGCGTTGCCGAGGCAATTGTCAAGAACACCTTCCTGGAGGTACAGGACGACGACGAGGATGCTCCCAAACTCAGGCTCGTCCATACAGCTGGAGGCCGAGATCTCTCATGTTGCAGCTCATTGTAGCTCCGATCATCCTGATATGAGGATCACCGAATCATTCAGGAAGTTGCCTCAGACGTGTCACTGCTTCCGCCGAGGCTGCCGGGAGGCTGGACAGCATGGGAGGACTGCCTTCCAATCCTTCTTTCGAGACCTTGATGTAAGTCAATGGTTCTCGAATGCTTTGAGAACTGCAGTCGAGTTCAGTTTCGCCAATGCTCAGAAAAGCTGAGCTGACACTGCAGGCACCTGCCCTTTGCTAATCGATTAGTGTTCCCTGTGCCTCTTGGCCCCCTTGCGGGGAAGACCTGTGGAAGCTTTGACGAGAAATTCCGCTCCGCCCTGCTAGTGGATGCCGCGTCCATATTTTCTACCTTCAATCAGAGGGGCCATTGACAGATGTCACCCGGCTGACAGCTATGTGCGCCTCTAGCAGGGCGTCAGCTGGCGGATGCAGCGAAAGTGCCGAGAAGGGACGTCCACGGATACGTTTTCATGTCATATGGAATGTAGATGAAATACATGGAAGCGTCCAACCCTTTGTTGCTTCTCTCGGTCTCGACGCCGATTTACGCCATGCCGTATGCGCAATGCTCGCATCCGCAAACGTCTAGAGAGGTGCAAGTGGAGATGCTGAAGCTGGCTATGTAATTATAGGTACAAATCAAAAATGCTGGACCGTCCTCGAGACAATCAGCATTTGCAACAACTTTCCCCCAGATCGCAGCACATAGCCCTCACGCTGAGATCTTGGTACCAAAAACCCAGTCGCAGCAGGGTGGCAGAGCCTCTTCTGTTGAATCTTACAGTATCGAGGTTTGAAGCCGGAGTAAGCAAGACGCAGGGATGCAGCAGTCATCCCCACGTGCCGCGTTGCGGCCTAGCTTTGCCAGCTGCTTTTGGCCTGCTTGGGCGATTTTGAGCTGGGCGGGGGCTGCTTTTGGCTGATTCAGCCAAGCGGCATGAGCCGCCAGCGGCACAGCTGTGACGCTGACCTTGGCACTGGCAGGTCGTACGCCTCCCAGTTGCTGGTGCACAGTGCACGTGAGGCCGACAGGTTGGCAATCTCATCTAACGCCGACAACTATGTCGGAAGACGCTTAGCACGGCAGACTGCACCATGCAAGGAGAGGTGCCCACTGCATGTTCAGATGAGATTTCCCAGCCAACGATGCCTGTAGCTTACACTAGGCACGATGTTGCCTACATGCAGACATTGCTTAGTGGGAGATTCTGCCGATTCCTTCATTCCTTAATTCTACATTCTCGGGTGCATGCGATTCGCTTTGTTGTCACTCCTCATTGATGTTTTTTGGCTCCTGGTCTGCATTCCCATCTTCAGCATGCCATCTGGTATGCCCTTTCGGTTGGACATTTGATTTCTGACCCGTTTGAAGAGACTGTTTCAAAATGTTTGATTCACGGGTTGCCTTGATTGTTTGGCCCCGTACGGCTGTCATCACAGCCCAGCTTGAGCCACTACCAGACTGCTGGGAACTGTGTCATCCTCAGGCTTTCAGTGAGAGCATAGCTTGAAAGATCGACTGGCTGGCTGGCTGAATCGTTTACTCCAGTACAACGACATGCGTGATTCCAGACATTAGGTGCTGGTAGCCCGCTATGCCGAACGTGCACAGAGTGGCCTAAATCTTGCTGCAGCGGACAGCAAAGCGCATCCAGTACTGCCATTTTCCGTGCATTGTTAAGGCCAGAGCAAGCACCTGCAGTTCTTGTAGGTTGGTATGAAAGCACGTAGCCCATAGCTGTGAAGAGGGTTGGATGCGCTCAAAGCACATTATTTTTGTTGCTCCTTTTGAGACTCTGCTGGCATCGAAGCTTGGTTGGCTGCTCCAAGGCTATGTTCGGTCAACCGAGCGGAAATCACCGTATCTTGCTCTGAACCGTGGCCTTCGCCACAAACCAGACAGCAGCTGCTTTGCTGACTGATGCCACGAGTCTGTGCGAGTTCAATCCTGATTGTACAACACCCGCCGGCTGCCAGGAGTGAGGTTCGCAACCCCTCATCGCGGCCAAAAAGTCAATTGCTGCCCGTGGCTATGAAGTGCAGTCATAGCACGAGAGGTCGATCAGTCACATGGCTTGCGAGTGTTAGTGCTGCTGCCGCTTTTTGCTCGCGTCAGAGCTCGAGATTGTGAGTGCACAGCTCTTCTCTGCCTTGGACCAACAGAGATCTGAGTTTGACGTAGTTTGACCCTTCCATGGAAGATCAAGGTTCCGAGGGCTCAGCCAACGCTGTTCGAGTTCGGGTTCTTGAGACTCGTGATTCAATAGCACCGGCATGGCTGAGCCATGTCAGAAACATGTCAGAAAGTTCAGCTGGCGAAGCAGCTCCGAGGCTTGCTCCTGCCGCTCACGATATCCGACTGCTTCAAGCACTACCCTAGCTTCACGCCATCAAGCTTGAAGCAGCAGCGACCTCCGCCTCGTCACCAATACAACAGCTGCCAGCCACCTATCACAGCTTTCCGGACAACAACAAAGTTTGATGTTTGTTGTCCTGGCGTGTTTATCCGTTCTCTTCGAGGTTGCTCGTAAGCCCCACTCCAGCATACTCCAGCTGCTGTATGGCGCATGGTTTGCGCTCACGTAATTCTATTTGCACACTTCGGTGCTGCCGCACCCTTCGGAAAGCATAAAGACCCCCCACGAACAGCCTGCCCTTTGCCAACACAGAGGCCTGTCAACGACCCCGCCGCGCCCCCACAGACCTTGTCTACAGGGTGACAGTAGTCGTCGGAGTCGTGGTGGTAGCAGTAGGAGTAGTAGCAGAAGCAGTGGTAGAAGCAGGAGTGGGAAAGGAAGTGGGGCAGCAGCAGTAGTGGCAGTCGCAGTAGCGGTAGCAGTAGAAGTATTATTATTATTATTATTATTATTAGTAGTAGTAGTAGCAGCAGCAGCAGGAGCAGTAGCAGTAGTAGTAGTAGTAGTAGTAGTAGCAGCGGCAGCGGTGCGCCAGCTTTAGCAGGGGGAGCAGCAGGAGCGGCAGGAGCAGGTGGTGGAGGAGGAGGAGGAGTAGTAGTAGTAGTAGTAGTAGAGTATATGTATGTGTGTATTGTTTATATGTATATATATATATATATACATATTAATATGTGCAGGCGAACCCAGGGGCAGCACTTTGGCTGCATTTGAGGTGTTTGTGCGTGTTCCTTCGGGGGCGGTTGGGCACAAGCAGCCGCATTTTGGTCAGACATAGGCAGTATACGTGTCACGACAGGCTTGGCTTTGTGGATCCGAAGTGGTGATACTGTGCTGGCTGCCCTGTCTGACGGTTCTGATGGTTCGCTCAGCACTTGCATGGGTTGCGGGTTGAAAGCAGCCAAGTATTCAAGCATCCTCAGTTCTCCAACTTGCAATCTCAAGCGCTCAAGACCGTTCTGCAGGGTATCTGCTGCAGCTTCTGGGCCGTGTGGCGGAGCGTGCGGCAGATCTCTGTGGCCGCGCGCGCGTCATCGAAGCACGGCTTATGATTTGATTCGGCTTTGGGCTTGATTGGTTCCCAAAGTCTGCACAGCTGCTGTCCAGGTTTCTGACGAAAACCTACGCGACTGGGATGTGGCTTCGCTGATGGATGGGTCTGCTCGGGCTTGTGGCATGCTGTTGGTTGCGTCTTCGGAGCGCCTTTACCATCCGAGGTCGAAATTCGGCTTCCGGTCGAGAGTCGCTTGGGGAGGCAGCTGGCCGACCGTAAGACACGGACCCAAGCCCAAGACTTTGTGCTTATGAGGCTTCACTTCCCAGGCACGTTTCCTGCGCATCCGCCAGTCCTGTGCTGCATTCGGCCCCGCCTGACGCTCACTGCGGCGAGCAAGGTCCCGCTAACAGACACTGGCATCCTGCGATTGCCAGAGCTGTCAACAATGCATTGGCGGCCTGAACAGGACATAGTCGATGTTGTTCTCCAAGTTTGCACATTTCTTTCATCCGATGGGCTTCTGCTGGACCCATCGGAGAGGTCATATTCTTCGCCACCTGGAAATGTGGGACTCGGAACAACCATCAAGCTACCTACAGTTTCGCGGTGCATGGAGTTTTTCCCAGCTTCAAATCTGGATCTTGCTGCAGATTTTGTTCCTGAACTTGCCGACGTTCCACCTGGTAGAGTGGTGTTGTCCCAACGGTATGCTCTAGACATTTACAATCGCATTTTCGGAACTGAGCAACAAAGCACGGCGGCTTTCCATGTGGAAATCAAGAACTGCCGTAAAGAGATCCGAGCATTTGCTGGAATGTCAGAGGTGTCTGCACTAGAAGAGCCCGTTGTACTTTTACCCTCGTGTATGATGCAGCAGCTCTTCCTGGAGGATGGCGACCCGGTGCGGGTCCGTGCAGTGACTCTTCCCCTTTGTGGGTGCGTCCACTTGCAGCCTAAGAGCCATGATTTTTACGAAGTAGTTGGTGCTGAGCCAGAGCTTGTGTTACAGGAGTCACTAGCGCGTCTTCCAGCTTTGACATCGGGGTTGTCCATCCAGGTGGAGGTGGCCATTGCCAACAACTTTCAAATTGGGCTGCGAAGGGTGGGTGTTGTCGTTGCTCGGTTGGAGGATCTCTCAGGCAATGACGTGTTGGCTGCCAAGCTTCCGGGTCATGCTGGAGTGCTCGGGGACCACGAGGTCCGTGTGGAGCTCCTTCCGGCCGCAGACCTGGCCGAAAGCGAAAAAGAGCATGAAGCGAGGCTTCGCGCAGAATCTCAGCGCCAAGCGAAGATTCAGCAAATGCTGGAGGAGAAACATGCTCGACTCAAAGTCCATCGCGGGGATATGGCACAAAGTGGTCATTTAGACGAGGCGCATAGTGAACCCAGCTCAACAGTTGAGCTTTGCTTCCGTCTTCCAAACGGAAGGCAGCTGCGACACCGATGCCCCAGTGACAGAACTGTATCAAACTTGAAACGTCGCCTCTTCGGCTTGCTTGCAGACTCTGATTTGTGGAAGCCATGTGTGGACGACGCAGCAGCTTTGGAATTGGCGATATTTCCGCGGAGAGTGCTCGGCGATGCGGAGATGGTGTCGCAGATAGGCGACCGGGCAGTCGTTCATGTTACAGAAAGCCTTGAGGCAGTGCAAGCGGCAGAGCACTCCAAAGCGGTGTTGGATTCTGTTGTGTACCCAGCAGGATTGGAAGAAGCAATTACGTCTGCAACGCATGATGTTGACCTAAACAAGGTCGTAGCTATCGATCAAAGCACTTCCACCGCGGACCGTTCTGCGCAGAGAGCGGCGGTCCACGACGAGGGCTTGGAGACCCTGCCCTTTGCAGAGCTTCGCGCATTGGCATTGAGTTTGGGGCTGCTTGCTGCAGACATTGCACGTGCTGTTGACAAGGCGGAGCTGCTGGAACTCGTTACACGGCACCAACGCCGAGCAGCGCGGCATGCCAGGGTCAGAATCCGTGAGAATACAGAGAGGTCCTCAAACGTCCCCGAGCGCAGAGCCTCCTCTCTGTCTGCTCGTGGCTCCCAACCGCTGCCCCATCCGGGTCCGGCAGGTCCGGGTCCTGGCCGTAACAGCAGAAGCAGCCAGAGCCAGTCTGTTGGAGCACGTGATCGACGCCTCGACTCTGCCACGCCCATCAGCCAAGCGGATGGGCCGCGTGGCATGCGTGGCAGTACGTCTTCAGCTCGGTTCCCTCGGCCTCCACGGGGAAATGCACTGGGCCCAGAGCCACGGGCAGGTGTTGCTGGTTTACCTTTGGCTCCAAGATCAGCAACTCGCAGCCCGCCAGGTCACCCCGAACGAGATGACGCTCCTGGCAGCACATCGCGGAATCCGAGGCTCCACGCGCCACGTCCACGCGAGCCCCTGCGATGCGCCGGTCAGTTGATGCTCGGGCCAGCTGGGATGGTCGGAAACAACCGGACAGAGCAGCAAAGGCCCGAACAGAGACACGGTGACCCAATTTCTCCACGTCCAAAGCGGCGTGCTCAGCAATAATGCTCCCGGTTTAGCTGACGGCCGGAGTGGAAGCAATGTCGTGTCCGCGAACTCAGATCCCAGAGCGCCGGACGTCCATCCTGCGAATGTCAGGAAGCCTTGGACGATCGAGGACGCCCTGGGACTTGACTGATGCTCTGGCTCCTTCTCACAGTCGACGCATGTAGAATATAGAACCTGGCCCTGCGCATTGACACGGTTGACTTTCCAGCTTTAGGGAACCAAGAGCTATCGGTTGAGTCATCAAGCCCAACCTGGAGCATGAGTTCCACGGTCTGAATGTTGTCCACATCTCTCCGCATGGTAACTTGGTGTGCTGCGGGGGCAGAGGGGGGGGGCAGGACGGACATGTTTTTGGCAAGCAAAGGCACTCCGAAGCCATTGGGTCTCAGCCTTTGCCCGTGTAGTTGCTTTTTTCATCGAAGGCCTAATTCCGAGGGACAGCTGTTTGCATCCTTTTGTGAATGCAGAGATGTTTCGACGAGTGGTGGGCGTGCAAGGTCATCATGCTTTTCGGTCTTCTTTGGTTCAGTGGCGGCATTGTCCTGGGCGCCCAGTTTTCTGATTGGGTTAAGCCACGACCTGAGGCCGGCACCGGTAGAGCAATCATTGCAGGCAGGTTTTTGCATGCTCACCTTCTCGGCAATCGAGGCCAGTGTACGAGAAAACACTTTCCAAGGGCTGCGAGGTTCCAACCGGAGCGTTGTGTACGTCAGAACGGATGTAGTGATGTCAGTAAATGTTCGTTCGATGCCAGGTGTGGTATGACAAAGTCCTCGGCAAGACCAGCGAGTCTAACGAGCCGGTGCGCAAGCCAATATTGCTAGCTAGTAGTGCGTCGCTGAACCATCGTTGGAAAGTCGAGCACAGTCGAACATCTCCTGCCAGGCTCCCGCAAGCTGAATGACAAACGCTAGGTGTTCAGTGGCTTGCTTGCCATTTGCACGAAGGTGCAGCTTTCGTCGTTGTTCGGCTTTTGCGTTGGGTCCAAGGTGACATGGCATAAAGCCCATGGAGCTGGGGTAGTGCGTGCTCGGAGCTCAGACTTCGAAGCATGATGCTGCATGCCACGTCTGAGTGGCAGGTACACGTTGATGCGCACGAAGGGTTCTTGAAGCTGACGGCTTTTCCTTCCTGGAGACTTGGGGAGGTCCTTCGTCTCTCAGATTACAGCATCGGACCCCGCCTCGGGTCTCACATCCAGACTCAAAGATGCGCTCTCAACAGGAAAAGGCTCGTGGTGTCCAGGAGTTGTTCAGGATGGTCGACTTGTTCGAGGGGTTGAACACCTCCAAAAGTGTCATGCGTCTCAGTTTCGGCTCTCAACTCAAGCGCATGCGTGAATTCTCAGCTGTGCCTTCATGACCAGATATCAAGTTTGAAGCACTGCCTGAAGCCGACAGCGGGAGTTGTTCGCATCGAATCTCCAACAATCGAAGAAGCATGGAAAAAGCTGTTAGCCGCTCCGACACTCAACTCAGCATTCCACCGTAGGTAGTGGTGAAACTTCCATGAAGTGTGGTAGGAACATGGCCAAAGGGGTGGTGGGTTCAGTTGCACTGTGCTGACATGAGCATCGATCTTCTCATTTTGCAGACCAAGACAGTCTCAGGTGAAGCAAAGCTGTTTCGTGCGAAGTTCATCTGGAGCACGTCTCTTCGCCCTCGTACTTATCGGCACAGGTGCCTGCCTCATAATACCTGAACACAATTCGGGGAGCGTGCGTTGTTGGCATTCAGGTCTTGCTCCCCTCTCTACCTTTGTCAAAGGCCGGACAGCTGATGGCTAGTGCATTGTGAAAAGCGGCAAACCAACCAAACAAAGGGCAAGTCATGTTCAAATTCGATGAGTCTGTGAGAAGCCACCGTCACACGCAGCAAGGCTCATTCTCCGGAAGGTATCCCACCAGTGTGGCGGCCACAGTTGTGAGTCATGTCGTGCGCCATCAAGACCATCGAGATGGACATAAACGCGCATTGCTTGAAAAGCCAGATCGCGTGAAGCGCAGTGCTTCGTTGCCTTCAAGCACCGACATATAAGATGGTCTTGGTCTCTAGGGGTTAATTGCACAAAGCCGAGGTCCATGAAAGACTTGGGCAGATCCGCACTGCTGAGGCGCCTTCGTCCGGAGCTGTGGAAGTCTTTTGCTTTCAGTCTCGGGACTGTGTGTTGTGCTGGGACGCACTTGAGCGGCCAGGGACTCCCAGCCATGCTGTGGCGCTAGTATAGAGTCATTCGTGTAATCGAGAAGTGCAGACGGCGGGGGAATCCGTTGAGACTAGGATGGAACAAAAAAGTCTTTCGTATGATGCTGCAAATATCTGACAGCAAAACAGCGGCTGCTCAACGGTGAAAATTCAATAGGCTGGCGATCCGAGCAAAGACAAGCCGACCAAGCCAGCAGCTTAGCAACGACTTGGAGTGATGTTTGCCAGTTTGGCATTTGTGCACCATGCAGCGTTCTTCCTAGGTACGCGGACGACGCTCCTCGGACGCATGTGAGTGAAGTGTGCAGTGCAAAGTGTGCAACATACCCTGAGAGAGCATTTCCCGTCAGGTCATGCCAGATGTGACAGGGTCCGTTCGGCTGTATGCCACGCACACGCTTTGCATTTCCTGCTTGGCGTGCTGTTGCCGACCGCCCGGCTTCTCCTTTTGCCAAGTACACACAATCAGATTTATTTGCCACAAGGTCAATTCAAGCGGCTTCTGCCCAACGTCAAGCTGGAGGTCGCGCGCTGTGGAGCCTACCTCCAACTTCTGCCTTTGCGGCAATTTGTGATTCCTCATGAAAGGTCGCGTTTGATGTCTGGCGAGAAACACGGAGGCCTTTTTTCAGCGGAAGATCTTGCTTGCTTGGCGCATCAGAGCAGCCGCGTTTCCTCCTT